AATATAAAACTTTATTGATATACGTTAACATAAAGGCACATAGTAGATATGCAGGGACGCTATATTGTCCAGCTAAGCATGATGGGAAAACAATTAAAAAATCTTAATCTAACAAAACGCAAAAGCCACCATGTTAACGGACATAAACTGAAAGTGCGAAGACTCCATATCCCATCATGCTTTGCTGAACAAAATGGCGTCGCTGAAATAGATAATGATGATATACACCTACTTGCGAAAACGTTGTCATAGAAAATAGGACATTTGTATTTAGTAAAAAGGAATAAATTAAAACAAGAAAAAAGAAGATCACGGAGGCTGAACGCTTTCTTTTGTCTTGTTTTAATTAATTCCTTTTTACTAAATTCAAATGTTCTATTTTCTATGACAACGTTTCTGCAAGTAGGTGTATATAAAGTCAAAAGTCAAAAGACGTCAAATTAATGATTCAATAATAAACTAGAATATTAGGCAAGAAAATGTCCATAAATTTCTTTTAGCAGTCAGCACAGTATATAGAGAATGACATTAGTGACGGAAATGAAGTCCTGAAACATTTAGTTTCGATAAAGCGACTTAAATGCAATAATCATAGAAATGACACTAATGTCATTGCAGTAAAGCGAGGGAAAATATAAAGGATGTGCAGTCAAGTAACACATATAAACAGACAGCGACGGAACGACAGTTATAAATGGTTATTTGATTTTACTTTCCCTAGAGCATATCTGAATATTTAAATGTATATCATATCAAGAAGTTCGCTTAGCATGCACTTGCCATTTTTGCATTGTGGCGCGAATTTAAGTCACGTGGCGCTCAATCAAATCGCACATGTGTTGCAGTATAAATTTTTATTTTTTCATCTTTTTGGTTCGACAATCAGGCGGCCAAGGATACAATTTTTTTATAATTTTTCACAATTTTTTTTTATTCAATTATTCCCATAATTTCAACAACATTCGTCGATCAAATATTTAATTCCACGATGTGGTACGCGTTGTCAAAACTATATAATCTACGTGGTCTATGTGACGACTCTGGGGAAGGTGGGACATTGTTGCCAACCTTACAAGCAAATGTGACGCCGGCTTCCTTCTTTAAAATAATTTTGTTCCTGGGAAACGTTTTTTAGGTCAAAAAGGCTTATATAACGTTTTCATTGCCAACAACTGCTTATATTTTTTTTAGTTAGGAAATCTTTATTTTCCTGCCAAAAAATCTGAGAAAGTTTTCCTTGCCTGCAGAGTTTTTTTCCCCTTAATTTCTCGCTGGCAACCGATTGTGACTTACAGCTGTCTGGGACAAAAGAACAGATATATTTTTCCCAGGAACCCATCGGCTCCTCCTAAACAAGCGCATAGCCGCCTTACAGCCTATTCCAAAACCACTAGGCTGGGTCGTTTTAAAATGTCAGACAAAGATGTTGAAAATTCTGAAGTGCCTCAAAGCTATAGTATAGACTGAAAAATGGCCAAAGGTTAAATTACCCTATAACTTTAGTCAAAGTTCATTAGTCTCAGAGATCTACTTTTTGGATAGCATTTACACCTACAACATCACAGTATCCAAAAAGACCATATATATTTTAGCGTCATAGGAATAATTCTTATCGACAAAAGGAACATCACTTAGACTAAACGCTTATCAGTGTCTTTTTAATCTATTCATTTCGCACTAAGCTGCAAATGTCCTATTCAGTCTCTATAGGACAAGGTTTTTTTGTTATTTTAATAAAAAATAGACTTAAAAGTCTATCTAATAAATAAAAATAAATAAATAAATAACTTTATTTTACGAGGATAGCACATTACAGTCAAAGACTGATAACTCGTGGCCCTCCCTACTCTCACACTCACTACCTCTACATTAAGTATTTTAGCACACAACACTCCTCACATGTTGATTTTTGCTGAGGGAGGAAAACCGGAGGACCCGGAGAAAAACCCTCGTGGCAAGGGAGAGGACAACACATCAAACAAACTCAAACTCAAACTCTAATCTAACGGTACACATTATTTGTTTAAAAAATACAAAATGATATAGAAGCAAATGTCATTGTTTTTTTCCTCATTTTAATTCGGACTTTCTCTGATAGACTAATAAACCTGTCAGAATGAAGGTTGTCTTAGTTGCGATTGAAGAATACACGGCCGCAAGTTACTATAGGAATTATTTTTGAATGACAGCATTCACCAACCAATGCTGTTGCCTTCACATATTTAATAAATTAAAAATCTTCGAAATGAATTGCTTGGTTTTTCCTTTTACTATCTTTAATTGTTTTATATCTTTTAGAAAATAGATGAGAATCTTTGCCAACAACTACATTTGGTCTTTTAATCGTCTTTACTACCCGACAGCCTTATTTGAAATAGTTACTATACATTATATAAACTAAGGTGTCTAAGTGGACATTATTAGAGACCTCGTTCTAGTGGTTCGTCCCCAGTGACCTGGTCGTGACCGTGACATCGCGAATTTTTTGAGAGTCGTGAATGTTCTCATGACTAGAAGTATTACATATCATTTCAAGCATAAACACGAGCTTATCACTATGCTGCACCCATTTGAACAAAATGGAAACGTTTTCACATTCTTCTCCTTTTGTTAATGTTTCAGCAAAAACCTGTTTCATTTCAAGCGTAATTAATATTTCCATGTTTTTGGTTTTGTTCATGTTAAAGTGTGAATTGACCCTAATTGATTATTTTCCCGCCAAAGGTACACTTATTATTCGCGGGCGGCACAAAGATTTACCCTCCAGAAATCTAGCATATCACGAGCTCATGACACTAATGGGGATCTTAGAAGACTCCTATTGTGCAAATTGTAATTAGATTTGCTATTTTCGTCATCAGTGCACGAGGTCTTTTATGTACGTGAGTGACTTTGTTTAAACAATGTTAGATTTTCCCACGTCCTAGTAAATTGTCTTGAGAATCCGACGGTTCTAGTCTTACTCTAGCTCGGCTTCGGCTTTTGTAACTTCGGCATAAAGCCATTTATAAAGTTCGATGGGGTGCGAAAATCCCACTAATATGTTAACCGACTTAAACCCCCCCCCCCCCAAAAAAAAAGAAAAGAAAAAAATAGCGAACGTAATTACCAAGGAAGAAAAAAATCGCGCAAACTATTTAGGTAAAGACAAATACAGCTGCTTCACCAATAAAAATAAGAGCGAGCAAAAAAAAAAAAAAAAAAAAAAAAAAAATCCGTATCCTCTCCAAAATTATCTCTGGTCTATGCGTTATTGGTTTCTCGGGTTCTTGCATAGGAAGTAGATTAGAGCAATGGCGCGGAAAGCCCTGACTGAAAATCACTCGTGAATCTTTTATCACTACGCCTAAAATTCCAAGATAATTGCCGGCCATTTCTCGTCTGCGCCAGCCCTCAGGCATTTATAACGATTTGTCAATCCCAATTGAAAAGCGTAATCAAAAAAATGGTTTCGCGTCGTGTCACGAGCCAGACTACATCTCAGTCTCGACAAATTGGGCTTGTTGACCGGGTTATCTATTGGCACCTATTGGTTAGGAACGTTTAAACCGTCATTTGAATCAATATAAAAATGAATAGATATGAATAATGAATGTATGCATTAGGAAGGATTGACTTTACAGCGCAAGGAGCATATACTCACTAGATATCGCAAACAAACAGCTGAAACCTTGTAGCCAATAAGGAATTCTTTGTAAAATTTGTGCCTCGTGTTTCCTTAATGTTCCTATTGCTTTGAAATTCCGATTAGAGCAGATAGCCTGACTATTTCCTCTAATTGGGTTCTCTTATCTTAAAAAAAGACACGCGATCTCGTGAGGTCGTATAACGGAATAACAGTACACGAACAAAGTAGAATTTGATAAAAGCTTTGCCATGAGAAGAGAGGTTTTTTAATTGTAAGTCACTGTTTTTTACGCGTGCGTTATTGCGAGTTTTTGGACCCCAATAAACAAAATGTAGAAGACAAGTGAAATGTCATGCCAATATTTTATGAGAAATGGCCCATCTTTATATCTGAGAGCCCACATCATTCTTGACTTGGATCGTTTTCCAAGGTCGCATTTCTTCGCAGTTTTTTAATGGCTTAAAATGTATGGAATTCATTGCTTCCAAGCACAAATCCACATTACGTACGGAATATTATCACTTGTAACAAAAAACTTGAACTGATACCCTGATTAACTTATAGTGAATAGCCTAATGACGGATATATCTTTAATGGACTTCACCTTGAGGATTGATGAATAAGACTGAGTGCGGAGTGTTTTTAATGGCTTCAAAGAGATGACTTTCGGTTCAGGGCTGCAAAACTTCTGCGAGTTTTATAACTGATTATTGTTAACAAACATAAAATCTAGGATTTCTAAATGTCAATAATTGAGCACGAATATTGTATTAAAACATTTCATGGTTTGAACGTGAGTCAAATAATGAATGATATGATTAAAACTTCAAATGAACCTTCTATTAGTCATCGAATTGTAAGATTTTCAAGTAAGCTCCTTAATTTCTATTTTACTTGATGTTAAATATCACGTTTCTCATAATGTTTGCGCTTCTGCAGAAGTCATGCAGACATGCACAGCTAGACCAATCATTAGCTTCTTCGTTTACCTCCACAGATGAAAAAGTGGCATTCCCTAAATTACAACTAAAGCTATAGCATTTGAAATATTATCAAGCTATAATTTCGTCTTCTTCATGTTAGAGTGGCGTTCTGACATGTTCAAGTATATCATCTTTACTTGACCATTGTGAATGTCAAATCGAATTCCGTCAAATAAAAAAGCATTAGCCATTTATGTTTAGCCTTCAAATGCGTACTTAATCCGATCTGATGTCTTAATTCAACCCAAGGTAATTATGGCGTCTGTTCTTCTGGTCACTTGGCTGCGTTTTTGCCGCAATGAACTCTTTGGAAGACATTTGAATGGTTATTAGGTTCTCTGGTTAGGCCTGTGCTCTAAATAGCTTAGTAGAATGTAAATAAACCATACCTTTATGCTTGAATCAGTTAGATATTTTCTTTAAGTCCTAGTAAACACTACGAGGGCGCTTTAAGAGGACGGAATCGTGAGGAGTTTTATGAATGTACATGCCTCCTAACGACGAACAAAATTCTATGATTCGTGGAGGGTAGTCTGATCCTTTGACCCGGAATTGAAACATGACGTTAAATTTAAAGAACTCGCCTTGATGCGAGTTTAATAAACAGATCTAGGTCCTGATAACCTCTTAAGCGATTGGACATTCGCTAATAATGAAATCACATGGATGATTAAGGAGAAACAACAGGTTAACTTTAACCAATGAAAGACAAGAAAACCACAAATACGGCAATTATAGAAATTAACACGTCACGTGATCGGACGCGCCAAATCATTTACTTTTATCACTGACGCAAAGAAACTGTATTAACCATATAGATGATCGTCTCTTGGCTTAATGGTTTGGCCAGTTTTCCTCCGTTGTGGGAATTTACGTGATTAATGTTGAACATATGTTATTTTTGACGCTATGTTTGACCTATATATATCTATCGTTATCTCATGTCACAATGCCGTGCTCTGTCGTTATTTCAAATTGATGTTTGATTGCTTTGAGATTTAGATTTTGTCGTAATGGAAATTTTTTTGTTTAAGGCGCCGGGGATATTTGGTAGTAATGTAGTTTCTGAAAGTTAATCTGGACTATTTATTTATGCTAAGTACAGACGCCATTACGACAGTTCGATTTCCCTCCCACCACAGGATCTTAGCTTGATCAAATGGATTACAACCATTTGGAAAAAAACTAAGGAAGGATATATATGAACGAGTCGACATAAGACTCATCAAAACACTTCAGTTTGTCAGCAATTTCGAAATTTGCCGCTAATCGAAGTGACAGGCAGTTTTTTACAGTTTTGAAACGAATAATTTTGTAAGCTGACATATAAGGTTGTAAGTCCACTAAAACGTCATACGGGAGGGCGTAAGATTTTAGAAATTAAATAGAACGAATATGCATATGAGAAGTGGACTCGAGGCGTAATTTAGTATCAAGAGCGAGCTCTTTTGTTAAACAGTATCGCGGAGAACCATCACACGTTTCTCAACACTAAAATGATGTGACATTGACATGCTGCACCCCTTAAGGCCAAAACTAAGTACTCACGATTCTCTCCGCCATGTAAAGCTCTCTAATACACAAGACAGGGGTGAACAGTAAAACAGACATTAACGTAGAAACTACGTGCACTCATAAATAAATATAATAAAATAAAAATAAAAAAACAACAAAGCAAAAACAAACTTACTTAATGTATCATAAATCACTAAAAAAATAAAGTCATCAATTAAGTTGGTCTCTTTGTATAATGTTCTTTTTTGTCATGTTAGTTTTGCTATTAAATGGTTATTTCATAATAATCAATTAAATCAATTAAAAAATGCTAGGTGTAGATAAAGCTGTAGTTGAGGTCCGGTTCATACGTTGTCCTATCATCGCGCCAAACCAAATAGCCTTCTTAATGGCGGATCCCGGAATTTTCAAATGATATTCCATTTGAAAATAAGTATAATATAAAACCTAGAAACCTCAGTAAAAACTTAGCGGCTATGACACAAACCTTCGAATGCTGGGATACCTGAGAACCATTCAACACCCCCTAACTTGTTGACCTCCACGGATTTTTTGGCCAATTTCCTTGTCTGCCGCAATACCCACCTACATAATACAGTCTTTTACATATCTTTACAGGTGGATTCTTCCCCTATTATTTTCTTTAAACAAAAGCCTTAAAAATATACTCCATGTTTGACCAAATATGGTGAATTCTTTGTTTCCGTGTCACTTATATTTATTGATTTTAGATAACAAGTAAAATTCATAAAACAGGTAATATGTCATATTTCTAAAGAAACACACTCGACTTAAAATCCCTGAAAGGTCATCTACATTTTAATAAGGATGTCTATCGAATATGAAAATGAGACGAGGATTGAACTCTTACAGGCACTAAGTATCCAAACCGCTTTTTAAATATAATAATGTCAAATGCAGATGTATTGATCGGAGATAATCCTTTAAAAAAATTGTATTTTATTGCATTAGATGATCTTGTTGATGTATTGATTTGTACTTTGATATGTTTGTTCTCGATAATAAGTCGGAGCTACTATCGACGTAGTTAATTAAAATGTCGGATCATTTCACTATCTACAATACGCTTTGCATATTTGGTATTCTTCCCTTATTTGGAGTCTTTCGTGTACTATCTAAATGATCTTTGAATATTAATTTCTGAAAGGTTTAATGACGCACGGTCATAATTATAAATCCATATCAAACGAAAAACATTATTTTAAAAATATGAAGTTAATAGTTATGACGTAGTGGATACGTTTATCTAGTCTTCTCATCACAGATTCACGCGGAAATCACAACAACAACAACAACAACAACAACAACAACAACAACAACAGCAACAACAACAGCATCAGAAGCATCAACAACAACAGCAATATCAACAACAACAACAACAACAGCATCAGAAGCATCAACAACAACAGCAATAACAACAACAACAACAACAGCATCAGAAGCAACGGCAACAACAACAGCAATAACAACATCAGCAACAACGGCAACAACAACAACAACAACAACAGCAACAGCAACAGCATCAGAAGCAACGGCAACAATAACAGCAACAACAACAGCAACAAAAACAACAACAACAGCCTAACCAGCAGCAGCAGCATCAACAACAAGAGCAACAACAAGAGCAACAACAACAACAATAACAACAACAACAACAGCAATACAACAACAACAACAACAGCAGCAACGGCAACAACAACAACAGCAACAACAATAATAACAACAACAACAACTACAACAACAGCAGCAACGGCAACAACAACAACAACAGCAACAACAACAACAACAACAACAACAACAACGACAGCAGAAGCAGCATCAGCATCAGCAACAACAACACCAACGACAACTAAACTACAGCAGCACTTATCACAGAAAAACCAATGACCGATTTTCTTTCATTACTGTCATAAACTTTGTGATGCAATTAAACGATATTTATGTTTTCCCGTCGGTTACTATTACCAATTGCTGCTTTGCCTGGATACTGTTTGCTAACCAAGTAGAAATAGATAATTTATTGTGGGCTATAATGTCTATTGGTCTGAATTTTGAGCATATGCATAATCAGAAAATGCCGTAATAAGAATATTTCATCCTTTCTCTTGCACATGCGTGGGATAACGAATGAAGCTATAATAGATTTCTGTTTTTTTTTAGTGAAAAGTAGAAAATTCCTTTTGTCCATCATTTGAAGATAGAAAAAGAGAAACATAAAACAAAAGAAAAGGTCGTGGAGAAGGTCGAGGGAACGACCGAAAGTCATTGTGGGATAATGATTATTCATAATAATATTCACCAATCAAAAGCAGTCAACACTCTTGTTTCCGTAAAATGGACATCTTCTATGATGTTTGGTTTGCTTCGCAATATTTCTGATGAGTGAATTGCCGTTGCAAATGCAATTGCTGTTATACTCCTATAACCTATTATGAAATATTGATATGAATAGCAGACAGGTGTTCGCACACATAGTAAAGATAGGCTGCCTGTGCTCAAATAAGTCGACCAATGTTTGCCAATAAGTCAATCAAACCTTCCAGATTTTCTTCTTCACCAAAGACTCGTGATTAATCAACCAGAATATAGCTGGCCCATTCAGTCGCGGGCAAAGAGAATCAAAGAAAAGACTGCAGGAAAACAATACATAGTCCTTTTGTTTTCCATGAGCCTCGTCTTAACTTCCTTAACCTTCATTGCATGTGACTATTCAACCAGAATATCGAAAGGGCGCTAGTTCATTTGTGTCTTCACTTACTTCATAAATACTTATCATATAGCACGAGCATTGTTAAAACGTACAAAAAAACTGTGTTTTTCTAAAAGCATAGAACACTACTTCCCTGCGACGAGTTCTGCTTATGTTATGAAAACATTAAAACATACTTTCCTTGTTTCATAATTCGATCCCGGTCAGAAACATTCGAGATTTCAAAACTTTTTAATGCTTAAATTTCATTACATAAATGCCCAAGTATCTAAAGTTTTTAAGTTTATCTTTGAACAGGCCTAGCACTTCGACATTAATTTCTTTAAACAATCATGTAAGCACAGCACTTGAAATAATTAATCAGTAATATACTGTTACCTTGAAAGCAAGTTCATGTGCCAAGTGTCTCTATCTACCAATGATTTACTTCCAAAAGAAGTAAGTTTTACGGGAGCAACACACCCGTCGAGTCAGCCGTCTTGTCTTCTCTTAAAATAGCTTTCATCGCTTTCATTGTATTTCCTTTCGGGGCACGGTTCCTTTTGATGAAACCCCAAGAAAATTTACTTCCTCAATTACAAAGACTCAAGAAGACCTATTCAATCTTATTTCATTGAAATTGAACTTTGAATAAGCGGCATTACCGACATGAAATGTAGCTTTCTTAGTAGCCTCGACGCTTCAGCCTTGAGGCAGTTGCAATTCTCTTAGAGAACAATACAAATATATACTAAGTCTATGTGTTTTTAAGACAGGCCTAAAAGGCTGCCTAGATTTTTAATATCGATCTCAGCAGGAATTACCGGCAGGAGTACATAAACTAAATAACTAAACTAAGAAGTGTTTCATGCCGTATTGTTGCAAGAAGGACAAAAGCTGTGTGGTGTGTAGTCTTTAATATAAAAATCGCAGTATGGCTTTTTGAACACACCGAGACAAATGGCTTAAATGGGGAAAATCGTTAGAGGGTGGTATTCATGTAATCTTGGTAATGTTGAGTTAATTGAAATTGTGAGCGATGTTAAAGCTATTGTGAAGAGCTTATTCATAATGTTAAATTCTAACGAGATGAAATCTTTTTTTTATTTGTATTTCAACTATAATAAATGACATTATCACGTCAGTGAAAATAACACATTCGAGGTTTTCTATATATATTGGAAGTAAAAAAACTATTTTTATAACAAAATATTTTGATTTTCATATATCATCATTTGATAAACAGAATATTACATTGCCCGTACTTGAAGATACGAAGTTTATCTTCTCGTCGACCTCGCTCATTCGTGATCTTTTCAACACCAGAAAATAAAATCCGTATCTACGCGCGCCCATGGAATATCCTCTATATCTTATTTCCGCTGTGATTAGGATAGCTTTTGACGATTTAGGTCCATCACCGACCGTGATCCTTTGCGCAATTATGTTTAATTAAGCATCATATTTTCCGTGTTTTTATTCTCTGTTTCAATGCGCGGTATATTGAAAGAAGAACACGAGAAAAGGTTTTCAATCGCGAGCTGAATACACGCATCAGGAGTTTCAGAGAACAATGTGTCCGCCATCTTGAAAAGTGAGCCCTGAATCACTGTTTTGCCTTAGAACAAATTTTATAGCTGCTTAGTCAACTAATCTATCATCATAACGTATATTATATTARATTTACATTAACTTAGAACCTTTTAATTTCTTTAGGAGTTATAATTTAGTGATTTGAGTCTCACTTTTCAAGATGGCGGATGCATTGTTCTCCGAAACTCCTGATGCATGTAAAGAAAAATATCATCTCATGCTTTCACAAAAATAACAAAAGCTTTCCTGAAAGTCCTGTTTTCTCTCATAGAAAGGTTTGCACAGCTTCAATCAATGGACAATGCCGAAATAAATATCTAGATATTAAATTGCTTTTAATCCATTTAATTTCGTTCACTTCTTTAGTAGAGTCTCGGTGTATTTTTGGAATCCGGCGCGGATTTCTATTTTTTTCCCAACCCCGACGTTGATACAATAACAGCAATAGCCGAGCTCATGGGAACTGTGACGCCAGCCTCTGAAGATTTCTCTTGTGTATATAACGTGTTTGGACATATATGACCTAAGCATGACGGGTAAAGAGCATTCTTGCGAAAGATCAAGTTTTGCGCGTTCATCGTGTAACTAAGTGCCATGACGTCACGCATTTCTCGGAACAAACTGCCTTAAATACTCGAATCATATAACACAGGAAGCCCAAACAGGCGTTA